AGGGAAAGGGTTTCCTAAAAGGCTGCTTCGGGAATTAGGCTTGGTTGCCACCCGTTGAAACAGATCTCAAACCTTCTGCATAAGGGGGTACTGGTCTGGGATCATTTCCTAGACACAGAGGCTGTCTTTCCACCAGAGCTGCCCTGTGAGACTGAATCCCAGGAAAAACTGAAGTGCAATAAAGGAAAAGTAGTTGAGATAAGTGTAGTTCCGGTTAGGAAGTTCTCTGTGTGGCTGCAAGGGACCCTTCAAACATCCTGCGGCACAGCCGCTCCACTCGCCGAGCTGGCCACTGCAGGAGAGGAGCCGAAGCCCACGCGTTTCCTTGCGTAAGTGCTTGAGCCTCGGTGCAGCCAGGAGTCGCCTTTCGCCCAGCATTCACCCCAGGTATGGATGGTAACACAGAAGGGTTTTGCAAAGCCCCTTTATAACAAAAAATTGTTACAAATTGGTGCCTTAAAAGTTGAGACGACTTTGAAAGGCATGGAAAACGTTGGCTTCAAAATCCTGAATTGATACGATTGTGGCAGTCTCATTTCTATCAAGCATTGGGCAGCCCCTTGTGGTACGTAGTGTTGTTGTGTTCATTACATTTCTAAAAGAGGAAATACAGGAACATGTAGCAAAACAGAAGGGTGAGACTTCTGACTGCGGTTAATTGCGACAAGTTGGTGACAGAGAGATCAAGGAAAATTCCACTTGCAGACATTTAGACGCAAATAACATTTTTCTGTTTTGCATTTTTTCTTTTTAATCTTATCTGCTGTCGCAGAAATTATCTTTCATGAGGATCTTTTCTACAAATTCCTAAATGCTTTTAGGCGTAGAGCTGTCAGATGTGCTTTCTTGAGACGTGGTTCCTAACACACGGTGACTGTGCAAAGCTGATGTCTTCATCCTGCCGTAATTATCTGTATTGCTCCAAGTGACGCTGCTGGTGGATGACAACAATGGATAAAAACCTAAGAATCAACAGCACTGCAAAGGTATGTCTGGTTTTTTGAGTACAGCATATAAACGATCAAGAAAAAAGGGTCCTAGAGTAGGGTTTGATGTTCGAATTCAGCATGATGCTTGGTGATGTTGGAAATGTTGGAATGTGTTTGCATCTCGAGGTGGACGGAGGGCTCTGTACGGTGCTCGTGTACCCGATGTCTCCCTGCGCTTTTTGTTGTGACAAAACTATTAACCAGAAGAAATGTCTTCTTGGGGAGGACTGTGAATAAAGTAGGATTCCCAAATTGCAAATACCTGTGAATAAACACATTTATAAATAGTAAATGTGTACCGTCAAGGTTCCCTCTGTCTTACTGCTATCCTGTAGGGCCGTTGGAGACACGGTTATACTGCCAGGGACGAGCAGTGACAGTCCGGGTGACCTGCACGATAGATAATT